GGTCAATACCATAAATGCTTGCCACAACTTGCCTCCAAAGAGCTGAAGTTTCTATACTAAACCGCCAGCCCCAGATGCCATCATTCATACTAATAAGAACAAACAGTATTTCTCACTAAGAAAAAGCTATACTTTCAGCAACATTATGGAAACAATGGAGAACTAGAAGTTTAACCAATCACAGGCTAAAGAGATTAATGAAAAATACTCACGGCTGATAAAAAATCAAGAACGAGGAAAATGATAGTAACTCTTTGGTTCAAACCGCTAAAATGCCCAAGTAATCAATACAATCCCATACCTTATCCAATTCCTCCCCCCACAAAACCAAAAGTGCGCAAAAGTGTGTGTGAACCTCCATAGGTTGTGATCAATGAGGCTAGTGAAAGAGTAAAGGAACTTGGACTTAGTCTAGGTCTTTTTTTGCTTAACATAGTCCTTTGACCGCTGCATTTTTTATACAAGTATGCTAAATGTTAAAACTTAGGAGTTCCAGGCAAAACAATACTTGGCCACGGGAATTATCATGTTTGAACTCATTTATATCTCACAAGTAGAAATTTTAAGCTTCGGATGGTCCTGAAACTTCTAGACCTGTTAAACCCATAGATTCCGGTCCTAAAATTTTATAGGCACGGATCCATCTAGGGAGCCCCTTTTAATTGAAAAAACAATCTCTTTTCCTTTACATATAAACACAACCTTTTCATTGATATGTGAAAAAGTACAAATTAAATCCAACCACCAATATTTCAAACAAGACCACTCCCCAGTACCTCACAACCCCCTCCCCCCCAATTTGTATCAATTACAAGCAAAGAGAGCACGGAGAGGTATTATCAACTCTGTTTAGTCCATGAAGACAAGCTGTCACCAAAATTACTCCAACCTTCTTCGGGTACTTACCTATCCAAATTGTAAAGGGAATATCTGTTGTTGGGCACTGTTATAGAACAATAATTGCACATAAAATGACCTATAAGTATGTAACTTCCATAGCCTCTCATCTAGGGGTGCAAGCCAAAACCCAAAAACCAATGATACATTGTTCGACAGAGTACGATAGTAATCCGGTTTTCAGATTTTTTTTTTAAACAAACACTATATTTCACAAATTAATGAAATATACAACAGGATGGGGAGGAAAGCCCACTTCAAAGCCAAAATTGGTTACAAGAAAGCCACTCCAATCAGCCACATTTAGTTGGTTTGTTCGATTGCAATAGATTTTTTCAGTTTCAATCAGTTTGGTATTCATAGCCTAAATATATATTTTAGTTCCCAATATTTGGGTCTTTCTTCAAATTATTTCCTAATGTTTTAAAATTTTAAATTTCATTCCTTGGAACTTTTTTTAATGAAGTTCTCACCCCCACTAAATATCAATAAATGTTAAAAGAATGATGATATATAGATTTAGGGGTAAAATACACTTTTGGTCGCTGAATTTGAGGTTAAGTTTAGTGACAGTTTGGTCCCCGACCTATAAGAAATGGCTTTAGAAGGTCCCTAGAGTCAAAATCACTCTCAAAGTGCTGATGTGGCAATGTTGAGATGGCAAAATTTAAGTGATATGGCAAAATTTAATAATTTTATATTATTTTTCTTTTTCCCATCTCTTCTCTCTCTTCCTTCCTTCCTCCCCAATAATGGCAGCTCCACCGAACTTCTGTATTTGGGAAGAATCTCTATTATTTCGCTCTTTACTTCTCAATTCCTTCATTCAACTCTGATTTTGAACCCCTACGAAACGGCCTGCCCCAAAAATTGTTCTTTCCATGTTCTATTCTTCGAACCCATTTCGAGAAATTTCTTCCTCCTCGCCTAAATCAAAAGTTTACAGCGGTCGTCAAAAATCCTCCGACGGCTACATTTCATACATGAAAACGAAGCTCCCCATCAACGGCGGCGACCGTGAGATGAGCAAAAGCCAATACAAAAGCAGAACACACATCGTGCGGATGAGTGTTTTCCTTGCCGGAGTGGCTCTGGTGTTTATGGCCTGCTCTGTTTTTTATTCTATCGTCGGGAAATGAAGGAACTGCTGAGCTCCATTGAAGACGCAATGGAGGAAGACAAGTTAATTGAAGAGATATCCGGTGGGCGTCGGGGAATTCCTAAAGGAAAATCGGGAGTGGAGGATTCGGGTTGGGTTTTTATGGGGAGCTTGGAGATGAGTCTCTAGAGGCGGTGAAGAAATTGGAGAGAATGGGGCAGATTTGGGTCTCCTCTAATGGAGATCTGGATTTTATTGTATAGATTTATCTGCAAAGGCAGTTTTAGCCCATCAAATTAGAGAAGAGGGACTAACAAGGGGGAGGGAGAGTGGAGAAAAGAAAAATAATATAAAAGTATTAAATTTTGTCATAGCACTTAAAATTTGTCAACTCAACATTGCCACATCAACATTTTGAGAGTGATTTTGACTCCAATGACCTTTTAAGAACCATTTCTTAAAGTTCGGGGATCAAATTGTCACTTTTTGAAACTTAGGGACCAAATAGAAACTTAACCTCAAACTCAAGGGCCAAAAGTGCATTTTACCCTAAATTTAAATGTGGTAACTTTATTTCTTTCAGCCCTTAAAAGCCTTGACAAAAACAAGGCTCCCGGATGGTTTCACAATAGAGTTTACTTTTAGATATTGGACTTTTCTGTAGTCGGATTTTCTACGAATGTTTGAGGAGTTTTATCGTAATGGTCACGTTAACGCTTGCCTTAAAGATAATTTCATATGCTTGATACCAAAGAAAGAATTAACTGTAAGGGTAAAAGACTTTCGACCGGTCAGTTTAATATCTTCTATTTATAAGGTATTAGTAGCCTCTTAGAGAATATTTATTCAAACGATTCTTTTGAAGAATTTGTCATGGGAAGCAAAAGAGTTCACATTTCTCACCTTCAATTTGCCAATGACACCCTTCAGTTTTGCAAGAATGAAGATTCTATGCTGAAAGTTCTTTTTTACACCATCAAGGCCTTTGAGTGGTTGTCGGGTTTGAAGATCAATTGGGAAAAATCCTCCATCATCAGACTAAACATTGATGCTCCAAAGGTAACTCATTTTGCTGCTCTTCTTGGTTGTAGGGTGGAAGCTCTTCCTATTTTGTATTTTGGTTTACCACTTGGGGGCAATCCGAGCTGACTTTTTGGGAGCCGGTTCTGAAAAAATTCTCAACGAAATTGGAGAGATGGGGTCGTTTCCAGATATCAAAGGAGGAAGAATGACAGTTTGCGCTATAGTTTTCAACAACCTTCCACTTTGCTACATGTCTTTGTTCCAAGTACCGGTGACAGCACGAAAGAAAATAGAAAAAGCTTGTAAACTTTCTTTTGGGAAGGTCATAGTGCAGAAAACTGAAGCATGTAGCCAATTGGCATTCAGTTGCAGCTCATATAGAAAATGGTGGCCTTGGCCTAGGTGGATTTTTTTAAAGAATTCAGCTCTACTTGCAAAATGGGGATGGAGGTTTTGCCATGAACCTCATGCCCTTTGCCGCACGGTGATAGAAAGTATTTATGGATCTGATCCTTTCAATTGGACGACCTTGCCTAAGGCAAATAGCTGTTCTCGTTGCTCACAGACTAACATCTGCAAGCAATGGAATAATGCATGGCAGCAAGTTAGCTTCATACTGGGAGTGGGAAGCGCATTTGTTTTTGGCATGATAAATGGCATGGGGATTTAGCCCTCAAGAACAGGTCTTGTTTCCTCATTTATTTTTTATCAGCATTCAGCAATACCCTCATTTTCCAGTCTCGAAGTGCTGGGATCCTGTTGTCAAATGTTGGACAGTTGCATCTAGAAGACACCTCAAAGATCATGAAATTCTCGAGTTTTCATCATTACTTGAACATCTTACCAACATAGCTCCCTCATCTATGGAAGATAAGCTCAAATGGAACCTTGAATAATCAGGATCTTTCTCCGTCAAGTCCTACTCATGGTTTTTGGATTCTGCACTTAAATTGCCAAAAAAGCTCCATTTGTCTCTTTGGAAATTAGACAGTCCAAAAGAAAATCAGTGTTCTATCTTGGATAGTTCTCTTTGGCAATCTAAATACTACAAATATTCTTCAAAAGAAGATGCCGCCTTCACTCCTACAGCCCTCAGTTTGTACTCTTTGTTCAGCAAACAGTGAATGTCAAATACATGTGCTATTATTTTGTCAATTTGCAGCAAGTTTTTGGGAGAGACTCTTCTGTCTCTTCGGCCTCAGCTGGGTTCTCTCGAATTCAGCAACAAAAAATTTGAAACAGCTCCTTTTTGGTCCGGCTCTACCCCCAAAAGCTCGTTTGATTTGGTCTAATGCAGTTAAACCATTGCTTGCCGATGGTTTGAGAGAAACCAAAAGCTTTTTGAATAGAAAAACAGAGATTGGTTCGAAGCTTTTGATTTAGCTAAGTATAAGAAATCCCTTTGGTGCTCGATCTGACCTCTTTTTAAAGATTATTCTCCTTCAGCTATTTATCTTTCTTGGGATGTTTTCATTTCTCATTAATTTATACTTTATTTTTCCCTCTCTTTTTTACTCTCTCAGGAGTTTGTACTTGTATCTTTTCATATATCAATGAAAAGTTTGTATCTTGTTAAAAAAAAAAACTTTATGGTGTTGTCAACATTTAGTATACAAACATTTTAATGGGTCAATAATGACAAGCAGATTCGGTTCAAGTTAGCAAGTCATATGAAATGAGTAAGTCCTGATTTTATGGGCGAGAATATTTTTAAACATCAGTAAGTCATAGGACATCCTTTGGTTGGCAAGCTCCCCTCCACTCCCACCCACCCAAACATCCTCCTCCATTCCTTTCTAATGTGGCATCCTTTCAAAAAAGAGGGAGAAACACTTTGGGCTGGAAAGCATCTGCTCATGAGCTTCTTTGGAGTTTTCGCTTGGAAAGAAATTAGAGGAACTTTTAGGATAAATCCTCAAATCCTTCTATCTTTTGTGATATTGTACAGTGTACAGCTTAGAGCTTCTTGGTGGAGGCACTCTTATAGTTGTGATAATGACCACATTTTTTTTAGTACAAGGTGGAGGCACTCTTATAGCAAATACTTCTGAAACTATCCTATCTCAATGATCATCAAAAATTGGATGGCGTTCATGTAATCAAGCTTCATGAGGGAGGGGCATCTCTCTTCCCTGCCCCCATGTTGTATTGCTCTTAATGTTTTAAAGGTTTCTTATAAATAAATAAATAATAATAAAAAATGGATTAGAGCTTTTATTTGGAGCATTTAGTTAGAACGAAATCACATAATTTTCAACGACAAGATTCTCTGTTTCAATACATTCTATGATCAAGCTTTTGTACTAGCTCTTGGGTAGTCGAAAATGTTTTCATTCACCATTCAAAGATTATAGCTCAATCAGTCTTATGAAGGCCTTTCTATAACTCAGTTCTTGGGATTTTTTTTTGTTCAATATTTCCTACTATCAATGAAATATCAATTTCCTACCAAAAAAAACTTTGACCAATCGGAAAAAAACCAAAACTTAGGGACTAAAATATAAATTTAACCATATCGTTATATATTTTTCTTCCCCCACAATTTTTCCAAAGAAATTTTTCCTACCAAAACAAATTCATAGATACTTAAACAGCTATCATACAAGTAGGCTTTTTTTTTTTCGAGAAACCAGGCTTTTTTTCTCATGAGGAGAAACCGAGCTTTCCTTGAGATAAATGAAAATAAGCCCAACAAGGAGCCACCACAAGTATAATTTATTCTACTTATTTTCTCAACCCTTTTATCTCACTATATTCCAGAGCAAAGCAACCATACATTCCAAGCTGCAACAGGATTGCATACCAGAAAAAAAAAAGTGCACCAAAATAACTTAACCAAAAAGTAAAAAAAAAAAACCCCAAGTCAAAGAGAACAAATACCTTCAACTCATCAGCCTCGCCTTCAATCATGCTTCCATAGTTACGGTGAATCTGGAATGACTGATCAATCTGGAGGAATAATTGCCACTTGGTCATGCTTATAGGAGCCACTTCGAGATTAAGGGTCAGTTCATTCACTGTCTCATTTATTTGAACCAACTTATCTCTAAGTAGCCAAAACTCGTTGAAAAAAATGGTTGGATAGTAGTTTCCAGTAGTAGGCTCAACATTCAAGTCTGCTAAAGTCAAGAAAGTCAAATCTAAAGTTGTGGTTTCAATTCAAATATGCTAAACAAAAATCCATCCATCAACGTTACCATGAAGTTCCAGGCTACTATTAAGCCAATTCAGCAACTACAAGGACAATAAAGAGATGAAAGCCAGAAAACATATTATTCATTATATCCAAAGGTTTTAGGAAGAGGAAAAGTGAAACCTAGTGTGCAACCATCTGCATCGTTGTGGCAAAAGGGTCAATCATTCAGATCAAAAGAACCTTTTTCATTGCAAATAATACTGAGTAGATAGCGTTAAAATCATGAAAACTCATTCCTTGATACACAGCATTGTAATTTTGACCTCGCACTTTACATGCAAATTACTAGATCTATCATTTAACAACATGAGACAAGAAATAAAAATATAAACAAGGTAATTTATTGGCAGTGCACACAACTAAACACTGATCAAAGGTAATTCAATCTCCAGAGAGCTATATCTATGAAATATTACATTGCTTTTTAAGAGAGCGCTATTGTAATTTGTAACTCGGTGCACCTCAAACTTTAAAGACTCTGGTTCCAGTTATTCTGGAAGAATGTTATAAAGAATCCATCAACACCATTACCCTCATCACAACTAAACATCGACCTACTAATTTTCTCAAAGATAAGAAGCTGTCAAGGAACTTCCTATCTTCAACCCATATAAGGTGTCAATCCAACCCATCAACAAACTTTCCCAGAAATATTTCTGGGAGCATAAAAACTACTACTTTCATGTTCATAAATCATGAGTACATTAAAAACAGAACTGTGCACTGGTTATGATTTTGAATCATTGAAACTGGTTATCTTATTTCTTTAGATCTCGTACACCACAGAATGTGAGTCCCCAAAGAAGTAATGATAGGTTTACTGTGTTTCAACTGAAGATCATTCCATAGCAAAATCATCCGTGTCAACACAAAACTACAAAACATACAGAAATGAGTTTTCATCATATCTTGAAAACATAAGCAGGCCCTCAACTTAGTTTTAACAAGAAATCATTATATCTCATAGATCTATTATTGCGAACAAGTATTAGTTCCTCGTAAGAAAGGCATGAGCATGAAAGCTTAATGAGATCTATTGAAATACGCTAACTGTATTAGACTTTCCATCAACCTTTGTATCTCTTTTGTTACTTCTACAGCCATTAAGCATAATAAGAAAAAACGAAATTCATGAAGATGAACAAAGGAACATTAAAGGATACAAGGAGCAATATTTGGCGGGACAGCATTATGAGGATATCTGCAAAACAAACAGTAAAAATGTCTTAGGTATATTAGCAGATTACAACACTAATTCACAAGTATTAGTTCCTCATTCGAGATTTTTTTTTATAGGGTTAATGTTTTAGCTATTGGATGGTGTAAATGTTCTTATTCCCCTTTCAATAGCTCCTCCCTAAGAGCCATTGCCTCTAATTGGAAGGCCTTTTTGTAATTAGCCACCATGGCTTTTCGGTTATTTCATACTATCAATGAAGTACTTGTTTCTTACCCAAAAGAAATAAATAAAGAAAACACGTAGTTGTCAGTGATACTCTATATATAGATATATCAAGGGGGGAAAAAACAATAGGCACCTTTTAAGCCATATGATAAAGTTACAGAGCCACAAAGTTGTGATTTAAGAAACCCAAAATTGCTATAATACAATGAATGAAAATTATTGTTATCTGCCCTCTCTAGACAATACCTTTGGTTAGATAATGGCTGCTCAAAAGGATAAGGCAAGATACAATGGACTGAAAGTATCATGGCTTCTTTATGGAGTATTTGAAGAACATAAGTACCCTCTTCTCCATTAACTGGGAATTTCTTAGTAAGTTTGAGGTGAAATTTGTGTCTCCCTCCATGTAATTTCAAGTTTTTGCTTTGTCTAATAGAAAGCTAGAAAGTACCTTTTTTAAAAGAAAAAATACGTCCGGGACATTAGACTTGTCTAGCGTATCTGAAAATTAAAAAAACTTTAAAAAATAACAAATACTTCATTTGGCGTGTCGAACACTCCGTGTCCGATATGTGCTTCTTAGGTTTGAACAAATCTCAAAAGTGAAGATATTAGGCTATGGCAAGCAAAAACTGCCTAGGTCTAAACAAAAGGGTAAATTTCAATTTTGAAGGTACTAGACCTAGAATTTTGAAATGGGCATAGAAAAGCTTTTCTCTTTTCCAAGAATTTGTGAGAATCATATTAGGGATAATTTGGCAATAGTATTAGTACATTAGTTCGGGGCGTTATGGTAATTAGTTAGGGATAAGTTAGATATAAATAGAGGTAGTAGGGAGAGAAGGGGGACATCTTTTGAAAATAGTTTAAGGTGAGGAGCTTGACATAGTTATTTGGAGAGATAGCCCTCTCGAAAGGCTACTGATATTGTAATTTCTCTTTGATATTGCAATATAGTTATCTTGTTACTCTCCTGAAATTAGGAACCTAAAAAATTGGCATCAGAGCAACGATTCTAGCCATGGGTCGTGTATAAGAGTTATTGTTGAAGGTATAGCCTATAGGGATTTTTGGCCAAAGAGAGGGATCTTATGGAATAAATGCAACAAGCAATAGAAGAAGGGCTACGAAGAATAGAAGAAACACAAAATCGGTTGGCAGATTCAAATGATCGGAGGGCAGAAAAATAGCAGTAGACATCAATTAGGGAAGGCGCAACAATGAAGAAACCCATCCTAAAGTTATTGGTTTGTTGAAAGCAGGGGCGAAGACTAAGAGAGGCTGGAAGGCGATGATCATACCCAAGAATGCCTACTGGAGTGCGATGGAAAATCAATCAAGGCGTAAAAGAGTTTCCAGATCCCTTGAGAAGTTGACCAAGGATGAGGAGGCTGCAGCAGCAAACCCAACAAGGTTCAAAAAGAATAATGAAGGAGAAATCGAATGACAAAGAAGAAACGACAACATTCTGGCAGGATCAGAGAGAACTGGGAAGATAAATGTCGCGACTAAGGCTGGATTTTTGGAGGAATATTGATGGCCATTGTCAATTTTATGTCGAAAGGTGAAGACTCGAAGGAGACGAAGAAGCTGGAGGAGACAGAGCTTCAACAGCAACAAAGCTCGAGAGAAGGCAAACAATCATTAAGAAATTAGAAAAAGAAAAAGGTCTAAAGTAGTAATGTAGGCCAATGCCAGCAGCAAAAGCGGGTATGGTTTGAGAAGGAGCTCGGGTGGAGGCTCCGATGAATGTTTTGTGAAGAGGCAACCATGGAGGTTCAAGGTGAAGAAGAGTCACGAAAGAAAGAAAGAAAGAAGGGAGAAGGAACCCTAATCACATGGCTCACATGAAGGGTGAAGAAGAAGAAGATGCTGAAGAAAAGTTGGACCCTGGGTTGGAAAAGAGAATTGGGCTGAGAGGGCTGAAATTAAATAAATTTGTTGGGCCCATGACTTCTTAAAGAAAGAAAATGAGACAGAAGTACAAGATGGACTTTGGGTCGGGGTGTCCTTGATTTTAAACATAGAATCTGAACCGATTTGGCATACCCATGTGGAGAAAGTAACCCTAACTGCAACATCTTCACGTTTTTTTCCTTCTATGCAGTAGACCCTCCAACCTACGCCACTTGATGTGCCTGCTGTTGGTTGCCGTCTGCCCCACGCCACAGACAACCCACTGCCGCCTGTGTCACCTACATCGTCTACCACTTGTGCGCCCGTCGCTATACACGATTGTCTATCGTCGTTTGTCACACCACCACCATCGTTTGTCGCACACCAGTGCGACATCGTCTTCCACCGCCATCACACCATCGTCTTCCACCGCCATCATCCACCATACGCTGCAGTACACCGTCCACGCCCCATCAGAGCAATCGACTCAACTAGGGTTTTTCCTTTACTTTCTGTTTGAAGCCATTTCTAGGTAGATGTTTTATTTTAATTATTTAAAATAAATAAATAAATAAAAATAAAACTCCATTATCTAAGTTTTAAGTTGATGATCCACACCAGGACAAGGTATCTTCGAAAGGCGGGTAATGTGAGAGTCCTATTAGAGCTTGTTTGGGAATAATATTAGTATATTAATTAGAGGTGTTATGGTAATTAGTTAGGGGTTTGTTAGATATAAATAGATGTATTAGGGAGAAAAGGTGGACATCTTTTGGAAATAGTTTAAGGTGAGGAACTTGGCATAGTTCTTGGGAGAGAGATAGCCATATTGAAAGGCTATTGATATTATAATTTGTTTTTTATATTACAGTGTAGTTATCTTGTTACTTTCCCGTAATCAGAAACCTAATAGAATGGTTGAGGCAACCATCATGGGATGGCTCAAGTGGTCAATGAGGGCCAATGTAAATAGCAAAGGACTTAGAGGGAATGAGTTCAAACCATGGTGGCCACCTACCTAGGATTTAATATCCTACGAGTTTCCTTGTCAATCAAATGTAGTACGGTCAGACAGTTGGCCCGTGAATAGTCGAGGTGCGCGCAAACTGGCCCGGACACACGGATATCAAAAAAAAAAAATAGAATGGTTGAGGCATGTTCTAAGGATGCTGTAGCATCTCCAAGGAATCAAAAAGGAAAACGGAATCATAAAAATTAGAAGCACCAGCTGTTTGTTTTAGGTTGAGGAGATTTCCAACCAAAAAAAAAAAGGCACTCTCTCCTTAAGATTATGTCTGGGAGGACAAAGGTAGAAAATTAAAATTCTGCTCGGAAGACTTTCTTTCCTTAATTGAAAGATTCTGAATCATCCCTCTGACATGAAATGAAGTTGGAGGGAGGGGAGTTTGTCAACACACTCGAGCAGAAATAAAATCATATGCAGACAGAACCATCATAGCAGACCCCACATATAATTTTTCCATAAATTTATGAAAAGTACAAAAAATATTTATCATAAAAGCAAAAAAATAAGGAAAATCAAATTTAAATACAACAGTACCACATATAATGTTTCCATAAATTTATTGCTCCAAAAACTTGCAAAAACTAAAAGTTAAAATGTAGTAAACATACCGAGTAAAATCATCAACTAGATTAATAGTAACATTTGGTTTCCAATAAGAAACCCACTCCACAGGACCATCATCTTTCACCTCAACTTGGTCATCATCAACAACCTTGAGCAATCAAAAGTGACACTTGTTTAGACTAGAACTGTTAAGATCGTAAGTACAAAATAGAAGGCTGACATTTAATTTAAATGAGAATTATTGATATGGATCAAATATTGATGTACCATCTAAGGAAATCCATGAAGAGAACCACACCACAATATGACAGAACAGAAATGTTCTGATGCAATTTGAATCATTGTATAGGTAATGGAAAATACACAATAAAACTAAGCTTCCATACACAACTCTTATATTTCTTTTGAGCAATTTCTTTCGTCTCATTCTAATAAACACAGCTCAAAAATCCCAGTGCCCATAAGAAGTGTTGGTGATATATCGCTAACACCTATCAAATATACTTCTGTAAATTTTTTAATATATATAATAATGGCATAGCATAGCATAACATCTTAATCGTATTAATAACTCATAGCATATTAATGCAAGAAGGATTAATATGTGGTGAAAATGTTTTAGTTAAACGCTTAAAAACTATATAAGCACAACCTATTAAGTATCAATCAACAAGCTTCTCTCTCTATGTCGTAAGGTACATGCATCAAAAGCAGAAAGCACATAAGGTACATGCAACAAAAGCAGAAAGCGTGACATCAACCGTCTCTCTGCAGATTCTAGACAATTTTCTTTAGGTTTGCTCAGGTAAATCAGGACGAAGAAGAAGAATAATAATAACAATAATAGAAAAACTCAGCCTTAAACAACAACAACAACAAAAAAAAAGGAAGATAATAGTAATAGATGCGTTTCTCCTCAGAAAAAAGACAGTAGAAAAACCCATTCAAACAAAATAACAGGTGACTGTTCAAGAGTGCCTTCCCTAATTAGCATCTCTCATGCCTCATACCTATGCATGCTTTTAATATCAGTGAATGGAAAGTTATTTGATAAAAACTTTGCGATGGTAGAGGACTCACCTCTTTCAAAATTTCACCAGTATCAGAACCTGCAGAATTTCCCAATAAACTCCTCCTTTTATCTGATTTTGACTTGGGAAAATACACCACGAGAGCTGAAATGAATTAAAGTACACATCCTCAATTGCTGATAAATTACTCATTGCTTCATTACAGATGAAACAGAAAACTCTAAAGCTTAAGATAACAAGAAAAAAGATACGATCTTACGATGTGTCCTTCCAAATGTAGCAAGAGGCTGAAACTCTGGATCACTAGGGTCTGGAGTGTACCCTGACCGTGCGAAGAACACATGTGCAAACATAGATCCATTTTGCTTCAAAGCCTATAAGAAGAGCTATTGCATCAAAACCCTCTAACATCAAGAATTATAAGAGGGACTAAAAAGACAACAAATAAATGTCCCTGAAATAAGTTTAATAGTACCTCAGATGGATAGTACTTAAATGAAAGAGACCTGCTACTTTCTTGCCCCCATACAGCATAAGGTATACCACTCTCATGCCAAACAAGCGCACCTTCACTTCCAAAGTCGTTAAACCTTTCATGCTCAGAAAGATACAACCACATATCCTGAAGGAAATTAATGCAATTGGTAACAGGATCTATAACTAAAAATAAAATGGTATAAAAACATAATACACTACATATGGATAAAAAGCAACAAGGAAAACAAAAACCTACATTATATTTATCACTAAGAACAGACATAAATTATTATCTACGGCAATAACTGCTTAAATATCAAATTAGGTAACTCTCCCTTCAGCAGGAATTTCAATGCAGATATGATACGTGTCCAATAAGTGTTGGAGTATCGGAGTGTCCGACACACGTTACCCAAACTGAAGTGTCCATGCTTCTTAGGCTGAAAAACCAGTGCGAGCATCCTCAGATAAATTTCAATGCAGATATTTACATAAAGCTTAATTTTTACATCACATGCTTGATGCATAACATTGAAGCTTCGGGATCACTCCTGTAGTCAACAATAACAACCATTTCTATCTTCAACGATAAATATTGAGAATCCTGAGTGCTGAGTATTAACTTCTAGAGTGAAAAAACTATTCTACACCCTTCTCAGCATCCAGCAGGCTCAGTTTGTGGTGCTCCGACGTGGCGAAATTCAAGAAAACCCATACAAATAAAATAAAATACTCTCAAGAAAAGTGAATCCAAAATTATCCAAATCACTACTCGCATATAAAACATGGAGAACAGCAAGTACAACGAATTCGCCGTCACTCAACAACACATCAAATAATCTATGTACAAAATTACCAGCGGTTCCCCCTTCTGGAAAAGATTGGACATGAGAATAGCAGGATCAGAGGGCTTCTTCGGAGAGAAGAATTTAGAGGCGAAGTACCAAAAGACAGCGATCCTTATGATTCCAGTGATAGACTGTCCGAAGCCTCCTTGCTGCTGTTGCTGTTGCCTGGGCTGCCCTACTCCGGCGGCTGCTGCTGCTCCTCCACCGCCGGCTCCTCCCTCAACCGCCGGCGTCGCCATCTTCTTCCCTCTATGCAATCGAAGATGGAAGCAGAGAGAGAGATTCGTGAGTCCGTGTACAAGTAAAAGCTTCGTAGAGTATATATAAAGAAAACGAACATTTATTTCTTTTTGGGAAACTTTCTTTGGATTTAGAGAATCATAAAATTTAGGGTGTAATCGGGTCGGTTTTCGGAGAAACCGAACAGACCCGAAAATATTATAGTTAGCTCCGAATCACTGCGAGTGTTTCTTTTTTTTTACTAGAATACACGCATATTTTTTTAATTATAAGATAACTTAAATTTTAAATAATTTTTGGTAGAATATTTTAAGTATAATTATATAGAAAATAATTAAGATTAATTTTTAGATATATTTATTATTATTGACCATTAATTAATAATAATAAATGTATTATTTATAATTAATGGTTAATGACATATTTCGTAAATAAATAAATTAAAAAGTAAAGGAAAAAATTATTTAAGTTTTAATAAATTTTAAGGTCACATTTCATTTTTTTTAATATGTTGATGCAATTTTTTGGAACTCGGGTCAGGTCGAGCAAACCAAGTAACCCGGGGAATCGATCGTCGAACTTTTGGATAAGGATTTGATTCGGAAATTTGGAGGAGCTTGGATCTACAATAGGAGAGAAAATAAGAGAATAAACACTAGTGTGGTGTCGGCCGACCACACTCCGATGCTTAAGTCAGTTGATGAGCTTTAAGCGTGGAAGAGAGGAAATGAGCAAATCTCGAGTGAATTGCTTGAAAGAGAATGACATAGCTTTCTTCTATTTATAGGTTTTGATGGCAGTGTGAACAGGTGTTGGAAAAGTCAAAGAGGTTTTGTCAAAGTCAACTGCCGCTCTATAATTGGGTCTATAATGAGACCAATAGATGCGAAAGAGAGTTGGTGGGTGTTTTGCGTCAAATATCCGCACTATGGTGGCAGCTTTGTTGGCGGTGGTCAAAGAAAGTGGTTGAAAAAAGGGGGTGCGACCTAATAGGCCACACAAAATCGGGGCCCACTACCACAAGGCAGTGGGTCCGCTCAACTTTCCCCCTCCCAGCGTTTTATTGTGCGGCTGGGAGGGGGGTGCCGCACAATGCATGGTAATGCCATGCATTGTGCCATGTATTGTGCATCGCATTATGCATTGGGCTATTTCTCATAGGCCCAATTCCTTTCTCACTTTATGGGCTGCCAAATCTCTTTTAATTCCTCCAATATTAAGCATTCACTTCAAAGTTTCAAAGTTAGGGTTTCCTAGCTTTTGAGTATGTTGTGTTCCCTCTTTTTTTCTTTTTTGTAGCCACCACCCACCTCCATCTCTCTATTTTGACTTCCATTTGCTCACTTTAGCTCCTTCATTTACCGCAGTCGTCACACTGCTTGCTGTTGATTTTTTCTCGGATTTTCGGTAAGTGATTTTTTTTTAAACCAAAATCCGCACAACAGGCCGCACAATGGACTGCCCAATGGATTACCGAATTTTGCTCTCTTCTTCAGTCGTTGCTCGTCGGCGAGGTATTTATATATTTCCACATTCGTCGTTTGAATGTGTTGTCCATAGTGTCGCTATGTCGCTCATAGTGTTCTTCATAGCTCCACCCGACTTTTGTGAGCGCTCGTTCCTTAAAATGTCCTTGCCGCTTAAAACAAGGCCCAATTTCGCATTATTTTTCTTTTGGGCGCCGAATGTTATGCACAATATTATTCTCTAAAGCTGCACTTTGTTGCTTACTTTTGGGCGCGTGGTCTTCACATAAGTATATAAAAAGGTATCACGTCATCCTTTTTGTACATATCTTGCTTGAAAATTTGTCTTTTCTCTCAACAATAGTGCGGTTTATTGGGCATCTTTGAGGCTTTAGGGCATTTATTATTTTATTGCCCCTTTTTTTTTGTTTGGCTGATGTCTTTTCATTGCTAACTTGTTTTTTTATGGACGTCTAGTCTTAGCTCGTACCCATGGTCGACGTACCTACGTTGCTGCACATTTAGAAAGAGGTCTAACTAACGTGGGAAAAAACGAGAACTTACTTACAGAAGGCAGTTTGCATCATTACGGCCTATCAGATCTGACCCGTCCTCTCTCCGAGGCTCAGAGTCGACTTGTTAGTGAGCCCCCATCTCTTGGTCATACTAGTGATTCCACTTCAGGTAAGTTCCCTCTCCTTGACCTTTATTTGCTTCTTGCTTTATGACTTGCCTTTACGATTTACCTTTTTTTGCTATTAGATTCTTCCGAGTCTTCCAAAGATCAGGCGGATATGAGTTTCTTTGATCAACTTCAAGCTAACAAGAAGTCTGCCTTGAGCGGGGGAGCTTCAAGTTTGATTCACCAATTCAGCGGTGCCAAGGGGTAGAACCATCTACTCTACCTCGACCTGCCGGTGTTGCTCCTACGGCTACTATTCGCCCTCCTCCTTTGTCTGCTCGATCTGTGCTTCCTAATTCTGCTACTATGACCTTTGGGTCGTCTCTCCCTACGATTCTTGAGTCTTCCCATCTTGAGAGATCCCCGACTCCTTTACGAGGCCCTGTGTTTGGTTTTCAAGGACTTTACCAAGCACCGTTGCTACCGGAAGAGATTGACAAGGCTGAGAGATGTATTCAGGAGAGGGTGCAGAAGGTGAGCTTGCTTTTCTCGCCTTCTTCTTTTTCCTTTCTTTATTTTTTATGTTTTCCTCTGTTTTACTACCACTTGTTTGTTCTTCAGTATTGCGCACTGGTTGGTTCGTCGGTTTATTGTATGGGAACCGAGCTGTCTTATTTGTAGCAGCAAAAGATTAGAGCTAATACAACTTTGGAAGAATCTCGAGAACTTACGCGCCAACTTGACCGACAGAAGGCTGAGTTCGAGATAACGCTTGGTCAGATACAACCTGAGAATGATCGTGCGATGGTAGAAATTGAGGCTATGAGGGAGGATCTGACTAGACATCAAACAGAGTCAGATCGGGCTAAGGCTAAGCTTGCAAAATGCAAGGCAGAGCTCGAGGCTTTACGTACTGATTGGCGAGACCTTAGCAAACTCGAGGCCGCGACGCGAGAGGCAAGTGCCTTTGTGGCTCTGCACAATGAGGCTATGGAATTGG